ACAATCAAAGGAAAGAGGAGGGAACCACACCGAGTATTTCACAATGACTAAAATGAATATAATGACAGCCACTTGTTGGATATACTACTTGCTACTTGCCCGCCCAGACCACCACTCGTACAAACGGGGAGAGGGGTGTTTTATTTAAATAATCATTCTTGTAATGTCAAAAAAAAAAGGTCATGGAAAAAAAATCATGGTCCTTAAATTCAATTTCAAAATTTTGTGATAGTCTTATTAATATTCTTCCTGAGTCTTTAATTGTGATTTTTCCATAAAGATGTAAGAATTGAGTCACGGCAATAAAAAAAATATAGGGACTGAGTTGAAAATCTAGTGAAACTATTAGGATCAAAGGATTATTTTTCCTTCAAGAAATTGAATAATCATTTCATTAATCTAACCGTCATATATAGAATCAGTGAGCTTGAAAATGAGTTTAGAGAGTCGATTGTTAATAAATTAAAGTCGAATAACACATCTAATCTTCTAGTCGACCCAGGTTAATTTTATTGGTGTTTCACTGTTTTGTGTTTTTTTTCCCTAATTTTGTTAGTTTTCCTTTGATCATTAAAAAAAAACACATCTAATCTTCTAACCTAACTTTTTACTTAATTTCAATTTAATATCTTAATTTTATTTATTTTTTAGTTTTCTAATCTTAATCCTGTTAATCTAATTAACAGAAGAAGCTGATACTACTGTAGGTAATCACATCCAATAGCCACTCAAAGCTTATTTATAGATAAAGATTAATAACAAGTCCAATCCATGTTTTTATTTAATAACAATTCATTTCTTATTAATTTTTGTATAAATTTTTTGAGTGGTCCTTGGATGTGATTCTCTCAACAATTATTTACTAAATGCTAACATAATAATCGTACTGGTCATTTTTTTTATTCATTAATCTTAAATACTTTTAAAAATATAAAAAGTAAAAAAAGATTAAATTTGGATGTTTAATTTGATTTCAATCATCCAAATTTAAAGTTTTAAAATTATAATTTTGCATTTATAAATTCATCTTTTGAAATTCTAGGTTTAGAATAATTTTTATTTTTGACTTAGATTTTATATTTATTAAAAATATTTATTGAACAAAAAAGGGGAATGGCATTAAAGGTCCTAAAAAAAACTTTATTGCACTTAGGGTCTAAACAAATTTGATATTGCTTTGCAAGTTTTGGGACCCCAATTAAATATTTTTTCGCAGCAAAAATATAATTTTGTGCTTTGTTTGATTTGAATCAGAAAAGCTGTGCGAACCCTCAAAGAAATGAAATAGACGAAGCACGGTTCACTGTTTTTCTTGTTTTTTTCTCATTTCACCAGTCGTCACTCTACTATTGTTGATCGTCACCGGCGTGGATGAGTGTAGAAGTTGTGGGTGTTGATAGATGAAGCACAGTTCATAATTTTCCTCCCTTTTCTTGCATTGAGTCACTATTGGTTGCAGTTGTAGGGGGTGACTTGTGGAACTCAATCCCTTACTGCCCCGTTGGAGGAGGACCATGGTGGTTGGGATCTTCCTCTTCGTTCATTCTTCTTCCTTGTTCCTCTCGTATTGTGCATTGTAGTTGGTTCTCTACCTTATTTTCCCTTGTATTGCACATCGCTAACCATTGTTAATTTTCTTCGTTGTGCTTATTCGAGTAACATCATCTATTTCTTGAAGATTCTATCATTATTGTTTAGAGGTAAGGATCTTCAATTTTATTTCTCCCTCATTGATTTGGTGCATGTGAGTCTTTTAGTTATTGAAGTTGTAATAGGTCTCTCGCGTGAAGCACATATGTTTAAGCCTGCAAGTTTACTTATTTATTTATAATTCTATTGCTGATATGAGCTAAAGGTTGTTGAACTATTTTGATCATAAAAGTTTTAGAGTGAATTAGTTGTTATACAATAATGATTATTAACTTGTTCATATTGAACTTTTACATGTGAACTGAATAAAATATATCCAATATGAAGAAAATCTACTATCAAAAATGTTGGAGTATTTGTTGTGTAAAAATGAACTTTGAGTTGTTGAATGTTGAGTTGTACATTTTATTAAGCTTAGCCAAATGATAAATTGGAAACACATGACTTTAAAGTGAGAATATATGAAATCTTATGTTGTGCATAGTGGATATTGTGTTATGCACTATTTGCCTAACTTGAGTATTTTGTTGAGCCTAATTTACTGATAAAGTAAAATCGTACGGATTTTCAGTTGAGAATATATGAATTTTGTGTTGTATATAGTGAATATTGTGTTATACATAGTGAATATTGTGTTATACATTATTTGCCTACTTATGCATTTTATTAAGCCTAACCTACTAATTTAAATTAAAGATTGCTAAACCATTAAGTTGGCTGTAAAGTTTTAGAGTGGAGTAATTGTTGTACAATAGTGATAGTTGATTTGTTTATATTGGATTTGATATGTGAATTGAATAAAATATAACTCTCAATGTGAAGAACATTTGCTGTCAAAGACATTGGAGTATTTGTTGTGTAAAAATAAACTTTAAGCTATTTACATTGAATTTTGAATTGTGAAAAATAAAAGTTGGGCTTTTATATGTGGACATTTATTTAGATTAATTTGTTCATTGCAGATTAAAATAAAGAAAGATTTATCATTGTTCAAAATGTGGGGAGGTTGGATATAGTCGCAAGACATGCAATCCTAACCAGCATGAGAAGTAGTCACATTGTTCTTTTTGGTGTATATAGACAACTATAATTATATATGGAAGCATTCTTAAGTAATATTTTTTAGGTAATTGGGAATCATAGATATTTTTTATTTGTATATAGAGAAGTAACTGTTAGATGTTTTGGATATAGTGGCAAGCTTTTTGTATATATTAGACTTAAAATATCATGTCAAATTTTATGTGGCTACTTGTTTTAGTACCTAGGCTAGTACCAACATGAAATTCTTCATATATGATGTAATTGTCCTTTTTAATATTGAAAATGCATGAACTTTTTGTTGAGTATGCATGGACATCGCCTGGTGCATAGTGGATATTGTGTTGTGCATGGTCTGCCTAACTTGTCATTTCTATTGATCCTTAGCTTTTGAAATATTGAAAATGCATGGACTTTCTGTTGACATGTGTGGACATCTTTTTGTGCATAATAGATGTTATGTCGTGTATGGTTTGTCTAACTTGTCATTTTGTTGAACCTAGACTAGTGAAATATTCGAAATGCATGAACTTTTTGTTAAGCATGCATGGACATAGTTTAGTGTATAGTAGATGTTATGTCGTGCATAATCTGTGTAATCATTTTTGTTAAAACTTAGGCTAGTGAAATAATCAAAATGCATGAACTTTCTGTTGAGTGTGCGTGAACATCATCTTGCATATAATGATATTGTGTCGTGCATGATCTATTCCGTTGTTTCGAGGGTTCGCGCAAGTTCTGAATTCAAATCAAACAAAGAGTAAAATTGTATTTTTGATGTGAAAAATATTATAATAAATTTTCAAAACCTGCAGAGCATTATTAAATTTATTTAGGTTCCAATGTAATAAGTTATTTTTTTAAGGCTCTTAATGTCATTCTCAAAAAAACCGGATCACATTGCATTACAGCGATGATCATGTTCTCATGAGTGATGTCTGATGAGCTCACTGAAACCAATTCCCAGACGCAGCCTCGCTCTCGCACTCACAGCAGCACGCCGTTCTCTCTCTTCTTCGCATCTCCGCCGCCCGTCATCGTCTTCTCTCCTTGTTCATCGTGACTGTTGAGTCTTGAGGTCGCATCGTTCTCTGGTTCTTCCTCTCTCATCTCAGATCTGCCGCTTGTTCCCCGCCGTTGTGTCTGCTTCTTCTTCTTCTTCATGACGGCCGAGGTATTTCTTTTTCTTCTTCCTCCTCCTTCTTCGTGTTCGCGATCTGATGGTTATTCTTCGTGGCTTTCATCCTTTGTTTTGCTCTGATTTTTTCTTCATTTGCTGTAGAGGCGACAAGAAAACCACAAAGGCCAGGCACATCAGTCACTGCTTCGGAAATGTAAGCTCTCTTTGCATTTCTCCCTTTTAAAATTTGTTGATTCCTCCTGTTTTTGTGGAAATCAATTTCGTTGTTCTTGGGCTAAGGAGAACGGATACCCACAGTATAAATGCTTTACTTTCAAGTATTCAAGAAGCACAAATTGTAGCAGTATAAAACTTTTTGTTTTGTTGTTCTTGGTCCCACACGATATAGGATAATTTCAAGTGTTTAAGTTTAATTTTGAGACTCGTGTGTGATGATAATGCGGTTTCCTTGTTGAAATATTGATGCTTCAAAGTTCTTGTTGTTGCTCCAATCATTCCTTTAAAAGTGGAATCTCTGTTTAAATTCTCTTGGTTTGAATAAAAAGGACAGCCTTGAAAAAGGGGCTGGCCCCTGCTTGGACAGGCTGCGTACAATGGCCCATGCGCAATCCTGCTTTAGACAAGTAAAACTCTTTTTATCTTGGGCATGTTTTATAATTATAGTTTGTAGAAGGGGGTGGGATGAAGCATTCTCCTCCTCTTTATTCCCTTCACTGTTGACTACTTCAATTACCAATAAGAACAATCTTAAGGTGGTGATGACCCATTTCCCAGTCTTCCTTTTCCTCTTAGAACCTTTTACATTAAGTAATTAATTAATTTTATTAATTAATAGCAAGCTGTAAGCTCTGCCTCTATGTATATTTCTCTTTTAGTGTAACTACTATTTATTTGCATTCTAATTGCAAGCTGTAAGATAGGAGCAGTTTTTTATTCAATTAATTTTTGAAAAAGGAAGAAGACTGGGAGGCGGGTTATCTCCATCTTCAGATTGTTCATATAGGCAGTTGGAGTGCTGCTGGCAGTGAATGGGATAAGGAGGAGGAGAATGCTTCCCCCCACGCCCTTTCACTAACTATAAATTATAGGACATGTCCAAGATAAAAGGAGTTTTCTTGTCTGAAGTTATCACCATACCAAATAGAGTTGGTAAATGGACAGCATAACAAGTTAGCAACTCTTTTCTGAATTAAGTCATCAATTTTTTTGCACTGGACACATTCCATTTGGAATTGAACCTGATTGAAAATTTTCAAGGATCCAATCAAAATCATTAATTCTCTGATGAACTTGATTGATAAGGGTTTTCTAACATAATTATCAACTGATTCAGTGTTAACTGTGTCTTTCAGAAATCTCCGGCTGTCGTGAAAGCTCAATAGAGATGTGTACCACTGGGAAGCTCAAGTCTTCTAGTTCTGAATTAGACCTTGATCGACCCAACATTGAAGATTACCTCCCTTCTGGGTGCACTATTCAACAAGAACCTCATGGCAAACTCTGCCTGTATGCCACTTTCTCCTTTAGTGCAATTGCTATTTATTTGAATGTTAATAGCAAGCTGTATGATACGAGCAGTTTTGTTTTCAAGTGATTCTGTTGGAGTGTAGAGATTTACTTGCTGTTGTAAAATTTAACTACCCCCTCTCTGTTCATCTTTTCTCCAAAAATTCTTGGCAAACAGTCAGAACTCGTTAGATTTGTATTACTTGGTTATTGGTTTTCAGGCGTGACTTGCTCAACATTTCTCCTACTTTGTCTGAGGCAGCTGGTGCCATTGTAGATGTAAGATTTGCCCTCTTTCTGAACTTTGCTGTCTTTTTACTTCTGTGGTTTTGGTGCACCTCCATTATTTTAGATGAATGATTATGATATGTTAAAAATCATGAGGCATTGAGGCTTCGGAAAAAAAAAAAAAAGAGGCACACAGACTAGCTGTTGTGTACTGCTTCTCCTTGGGAATTTGTTTGGTTCTGTTCTTGGAGATTATTTAGGCTTGCATTAAGAATCAGCAATTTATTCTCAAGCTCATAAAATGTGTGGGTGCACATGTGTGCACACAAAAATGGAGATGGTTTTCAACCCCTTGTTTTTGACCTTTGTTACTTTTGGATGTTTGCTCACTAATTGAAAATTTCTGTGTTGGATAGGATTCGTTCACAAGATGCTTCAAGTCAAATCCTCCTGAACCTTGGAATTGGAATGTTTATTTGTTCCCTTTGTGGTGTTGTGGAGTCTTAGTTCGATATTTGATACTGTTCCCTGCAAGGTTAGCTTATACCTTTTCTACAGTTACTTAAAATTATGCATGATGATGTAAAGAAGAGTTTTGTATATGGTTTCAATTTCAACTTTGGTTACATTAAGTTTCCCTTTTAAACTTGATGTATGAATCTCCATTGTGTCTTTCATATAAACTCATTTACTGTTGATCATGTCTGGCCTTTTAATATTTCTTATTTTAAGTTACAGGGTTCTAGTGTTGACAATAGGATGGATAATATTTCTTTCTTCCTTTATTCCTGTGCATCTCCTACTGAAGGGACATGACAAGTTGAGGAGAAAGATTGAGGTGCCTATATTTTCACCCCATGTTATCCCATTCAATTTTTAGTTTTCTCCCTCCCTTTTAATATATATGTACACTAAAAAGAACAAAGAAGGCTTAGACTGTTTGGTTTTAAATAGTTTTAAAGCACACAATAAATTTTGGTTCTTAGTTGTCATGCTGTTTCTTTAAATGTACGCATTTTAAAAATAAATGACGCAAACATCCCTTGAGTTTTGCTGCAATTGCAGAAGCGTCCCCTTTAATTTCAAACTTCAAAGTATACACTTCAATCCAATTTTAATCGTTTTGTTTTGACTAAAATGTCATCTATCAACCCTCTTTTGTATTCTGGCAAAAGACAACTTGGTTACATATTTTTTATGGAGGTTATTTTAGTCTGAGAATAAAAATTGGACTCAAGTTTTTTTTTTTTTTAAAATAGAGGGAGTGCATGTATGTTTTTAGCAAAACTTAAGAGAGGCATCTTAAGAGGCACATGCTCTAGGTTATTTTCAAATGTTATCTTGTGTTCATTCAACTTCAAACTTTTATTGGAATAATTTAGCAAGTCTTTGTATAATTTGCTGTTACTCGAGTACCTATTGCCTCGTAGAGTTCAATTCATCTTACTCTAGATGATGTGACTTTACCATTGTAGTTGAAGAATTTTCCATTCACTAATTAGACCAGTGGAAGAAGAGTAAATTGTTAAATAACTGCCTATACAAATACTTCCTCCGGTCCTAATTCTAGGACAAAGTAAACTAATTTCATGGTTCTCAAGGAGTGGTAGTTGATACCTTAAATTTGTAAAAAAATGTGACCTTCCAATTTTGCCATTTAATGTAACTAATGACCATAATAAAGTGTTGTATAAAAATTAGAAGTATGCCAACAACTTGCTGAAATTGATGAGGGGTAAGGTTGGAAAAAATAAACAACAACATCTTGTCCTCTATTTAGGGCCAAATAGGACTTTAAAACTTGGTCCTATAATTAGGAGTGGAGGGAGTATATTACTAATCAGACTAATTGAAAATCAATGACATACTGTTTTGTCCAAAACCTACCAGTGAATGGCTATCATTTTTACATTTTATGGTTCATACTGTAAAGGTTGGCCAATTCATTGGTGGGCATAATTTCAATTTGTGCATAATGTTGTAAATGAACTCATCTTTTTGAAGGATGCTGTACACGGTGGAGTGCATGGGACTAGTTATAGTCCAACCCATGATATTAGCACAAATGGTCTTGAGAATCTAAAGATACAGTCTGTTATGTTTTCTCTGTCTTGTACAATTCTGATGTGACTTTTATACATCAATTGGATATGATAAATTGAACTTGTCCTTCAGAGGTCATTGGTGGAGATGATGTGCAGTTTTTTTGTTGCATCATGGACTGGAGTTGTCAAATATCATGGGCCACGTCCTAGCATGAGACCAAAGCAGGTATGTCTAACATATCAGATGTAACCTTATTTTAACATTTAGGTAAATGTGAATGTTGTTGACTGATAATTTGAGTTCTCTCTACATTTCATGAACAGGTTTTTGTGGCCAACCACACTTCCATGATTGATTTCATTATTTTAGAACAGATGACTGCATTTGCTGTAATTATGCAGAAGCATCCTGGATGGGTTGGTAAGCATCCTCCTCAACTAAAAATTGTTTCTTTATATATAGTATAATAGCTTATATATATTATATTATGACATCTTTGGGTAATTTGGTTTTAAAGTAATGGTACCCCACTATCAGGATGACTTCATAAATATATCTAAACCTTTTTCTTGTTAGCATTATTCTCTCTGTTGGTTGGTTTAATTGTTTCCTGGGAAGAACAGGGCATGTGATGAACAACTAGTGATGACCTAAAGCTTGTTAACGTACAATGGGTTTTGGGAAATTTCCTGTTAAAACAAGTAATTTATGAATTTTATAAATATTGGCTGTTTTGTGTAGGATTATTGCAGAGCACCATTTTGGAGAGTGTAGGATGTATCTGGTTCAATCGTTCTGAGGCAAAGGATCGAGAAATTGTTGCCAAGAAGTGAGTTTAAATGAAAATTTAGGAAATATCTATTTCAGATTTCATCTTTCTTGACTTGTCTGCTTTAAATATTTCAGATTGAGGGAGCATGTCCAGGGCGCTGACAATAATCCTCTTCTGATATTTCCTGAAGGAACTTGTGTAAATAATCACTACACTGTCATGTTCAAGAAGGTGCGTGTATCTGTGAAAAATGCAGTTGCGTTCACCTATACACTTATGCAATGGGCGTTCTTTCTTTCTTTTGTTTCTGATACTCCTCCATCCCTTACATTGATTTGTACTTTAGTTGTATCCCAAATCTATCGTCTAAGCATTTTAACTTGTTTATTGATGTTTATAGGGTGCATTTGAACTTGGCTGCACAGTTTGCCCAGTTGCAATAAAATACAATAAAATATTTGTGGATGCTTTTTGGAATAGTCGAAAGTAAGGTTATGCTTTTCAATGTTAATTACTTCTATATTTTCACTGTTCCACTGCTGTATTAGAGGTGTAATGGTTGGATTTCATGCATTGGCAGGCAATCATTCACTATGCATCTGCTGCAGCTAATGACATCTTGGGCTGTTGTTTGTGATGTTTGGTACTTGGAGCCACAGAATCTGAAGCCAGGAGAAACAGCCATTGAGTTTGCTGAGAGGTGTATAATTTTCCTCTACTCCCTCTGTTAAAAAAATGCCTTTAAGGGGATGGATATTTAAAAATGTGAGGTATTTTTAGTGTTTCAAGTGTAATGAATGTGTTTTTCCCCCCTCGAAAATTGCCCTTAATAAATGAATCATTTTATAGTTATTTTTAAGTAAAACACTCTATGAAATGAGGATAATTATGGAATAGAGGCAGTATGTTTGGTTAACTAATTTATTCGGAGTGATATTTAATTAAAAATGCCTTACGTTTTTAAATGGAGGGAGTATATTGTTATTAGGAAATTGTTTAGCAGGAATGGTTACCATGAAAGTCTATGCTTGGCATCTTCTAGGTGTTGAAAGTGTCTGTATTTTACTTTAATGTAGGGTGAGAGACATAATCTCTGTTCGAGCTGGCCTCAAAAAGGTTCCTTGGGATGGATATCTAAAGTATTCTCGTCCTAGCCCAAAGCTGAAGGAAGGGAAGTAAGTTCTATTACTTAATTTCTCTTGGTGCACACCTTTTGCTATCACATGGCCAATAACCTAGGTTTTATAGTCAATATCAATAATAAAAATGTCAAATTTATGACAATTCTCACTATTCACGACTCATTAACAGTGTGGATGAATGCATTGGCCTACCTAGTTAGGGAAGTACACTTAGTTTGTTGTTCTATTTTGTTTTGCACTATATGGTTTGGTAGGTTATAATATATGCCCCTTCAAGCAATCACCGTTGATGATTGAAACAAACATTCGTATGCTTGTTTAAAGGAACAACTACTTGTTGGATGAGTAGTTACTTCTAAAATTTTACAAATTTCTTGCCTTGGCACTATTTTATCCATTTGATTTACTTGTTGGTTAAATACATAAATATTAGATTAATAGTTGTAAATTGCTTCTTACTTTGCACATTTTGGGTTTAGAATAGTTTCTTTATGAAATGATTATGTTGTAGAGTTTCTAATTGACTCTGCTTTTTAGAGTTGGCATGTAATGGGTCATGATATTAAATTAGATCTAAAAAAAAAAGAAATAAATAAATCTGGGTTTAGAAATTTGATTCATGGCACTTACTGGTTTCTGGGCATTTGTAGGCAACAAAACTTTGCTGACTCAGTTCTACGACGCCTGGAGGAAAAATGATGTGCAACTTTTTGTATATCCGTACACTTTTGTCCTTCAATGCCCTTTTGTTTTCTCTAGACGCGGTCTTTATAATGACGTTTGATTTATATATATGGATTGATATGAATAAGTTGCCTTATAAACTTATGGTGCTCGCTGTCTTTTGACTATTTGTTTACATCTCATTTAAATTGTTGACTTCCAAAAATTTTTTATCATTTTATTTGACTTTCATCAGGTTAAAATAGTGTGTATTTTACAAGGTACGTAAAACCGGACCGGTCATTAAACCGGTCATGGCACTGGGTCACGGGTTAGTGGTTCAATCAGGGTTGAACCGGGGGTTGAACCGGTGGCAAACCGGTCATGATTAAAATAATACAATTTAAATAAAAAGACATTAATTATAAAAACATTCAACCAAATCCAACCACTCAAAAGTCTAACAATAATAAAATACTATATTTTTGGACTTAGCATGCTCTATCTCTAATTTTTATTTTTTGACTTCAATTTTACTTTTTTTTGTTATTTTTTTCGAACTCAGAGCTCTGAAAAATTAAAAATGAAAAAAAAAATCAAAAACGACATCGTTTTGGGGTAAAAGTCTGAAAAAATATTAACCCGGTTAACCCAGTCAACCCACCGGGTTATCCGGGTTATACCGGGTTGAACCCGGGTTGACCGGGTTACACCGGTTCACTCCCTCACCGGGTTAAGTGCAAACCCAGACCGGACAGGGGACCGGTTCACCGGTTTCCGGGTTGACCCGGCCGGTCCGGTCCGGTTTTCAATACCATGGTATTTTACCAGGAAGTAGGTGGGAGTTTGATTGCATTAGTTTCGAAGAATTATTGAAAATAATAATTTGGCTCATTCAGATTTACATGATTAATGTTATCATATTTTAAAATCTAAATTTATAAAGTAATAAAACTGTCATAAAAATAAATTTGAGAGATCAAATGGATGATTGACACCAACTTGATTAAAAACTCCGTTAGTGTGGCCAAAGAACAAAAGTTAAATAATCTCGTTACTTATAAGAACTAAATACAAAGTGTGTGGCCATTGTGGTCATCGTAATGATGCTGTGGTATTTGAAGCAATCTTGACCCAATATTCATTCTCGATTTATTAGTATTCAGATAGGTTCTGCTCAGAAGGCATCATCATACCACAACTTCGTACATGGGCTGCTTAATTTTATGGCTCATCAAAATATCTTATTTGGGATTCTTCAATCATTTGTCTATAACACGGATATTGAAGAGCAAGGAAACTTATTCATAAAAGAAAAGTTGAGAAATTGTATTAGCCCTTATTCAGGGTAATTTCAAACTGCATTAATGCTTAGTGGAGCAAAATCTTCATACATTGGTGTTCCATCTGGATGTAACAGTCCCCAATGTCTCTCTATTCCTGGTCCTTTCTTCATGTTCTCATCATACAATGAGAAGATGAACGTTGGAATCACAACACCAGGTCGAGCTGGCGTCCCCAGAGGTGGGTTTGCCGTGATTTTCTTGATGAGATTCTGGTTGTACATTGCTGCATTGAATATGTTTGCACCAGCAGCAGCGGCAGCTTGATCAACTATGTTGCCTGAATGAGGCCACCCCGTTTCAGATATCGCCAGCCTTATGCTGGGGAAGCCGAGTTTTGACATGGCGAAGATAACTGAGTCAAGCATTTGGTCTAGCAAATTGGTGTAGGACAAGCTACTAAAAGGGTCCGTGATGTTGAAATTTCCTCTCAGAAGTGCAAAATCTAGGCTGATATTGGTGGGGTTGGATGACCATGGAAAATAAGTATATGCATCAATGAATAAGAATGAGTTGGTTTTGTTTAGAAACTCGAGCATTGGTACCATCACAGTGTCTCACGCTGGACCGGAATGTCCCGGCCGACACCGGAAAAGTGGTCTCTGAAACGTCCATTGCTATTGGGCTGCTAACTTTAATTTTAGTAATATTTTGAGACTGGAGAGACCTTTGAATCCTTCTCATCGCTGGCACCATATCAAGCCAAATCTTCTGGCCTTGTACTGAATAATCGCTAAGAACTTCATTTCCTACAAGTAAGAAACGAATCAAGGTTTTGGGATAGTAAGGGACAACATTGTGTCTCACCCATTCATCTGCCATGCTTTGGTTTGAAGCAATTCTTGAGATTTCATTATTCGGGACCATAATGGAAACTTGAAATTTGGTTTCCGATAGAAGATTCAGAATTTCTGGGTTGGCATCGTACAGCTTCACGCGTCCAGCGTTCATTGATGTTAGTAGCTCAATTGATCGTCTCGGAGATGGCAGGTTGTTCCCAAGCTGGCCATAGTTCACACCGATTTTGCTTGAGATTTCTGCTTCTGTCGAAGAAAAGAAAGAGATGGTGTTACATAGTGCAGAAGATATGCTTTGAAGAGAAGATGAAATTAAAAAAGAAGGGAATGTTTTCAGACTTGATATTGGAAGTAAAGAAAAGAGAAAGGTAACTAGAAGAACGTCCATTATTCTAATTTCTAGTTCCAGGTTGGTGATAATTGCTTTAATTTCCCACCTAGTGACACAACGGTTTAATTTTGTAATGCAGTTGTATGCTTTTGAAGGGTAAAAAGATGAGAGTGGCAAAGAAAATGAAATAAATGATAAAGGAAAGAGAAAAGAAAATGAGATGAAGACTGCATAGAGGCTAGAGTCATGCATCTTTGTGGGTGACATTAAACAATAAATAGTTTAAAGCCGATAATCTTTTGGTTTAATGTCCACATGGTTTGGTATTTTTGAGGGTTAAACAGAGCGTGGGATATATAATAATGAATATTAATGTTGAGTCATTCTATGAGGTGAAAATTAATCATTTAATTTTTATAGTTTTAATTCGTGATTATAACTTAGTCACAAACTGATGTAAAACAAGAAGGAGAAAGGGGAATAAAGAGAAAAGAAGAAGGAGGGAAGGAGAAAGAAGGAGGGAAGGCCGAAACTCTTATTCCATAATATTTAAAAGCTGGATACAAATGAAAAACCTAACTTTATTTATAGAGTTTTAAAATAATAAAATAATAAAAAATTTAATTCAAATATCAAATCCTAAATTTAAATATAATCTTAAAGATACTGATATCTAAGATAATAATAAAATAAATAATCAAAGTTAATCTAATAAATTAATATACTTATTTAAATATCTCTATTGGATAACCCTAATATTCTAAATTAAACCTAATTATATTTTATCTCATATTACACAATTTCTCCCTTGCTTAAAGAACTTGGCTTTTGATGAGTTAAAATTAAGGCATAAATCTAGGAAGGGAAGGGAGATAAATTTTAGCGAAGTGCTCAAATCTGGAAACCTTTTCCAATAGGTGAGACATTGAAAAAGCAAGTTTTGGCAAGAGCAAGCAACTTGATATGGGGAAGTATCTAGAAATCCCTTCCAACAAGTTAGATAGAAAAAGAAAAAACTTTGACTAGAGTGAGTACTTTGATCATGCAAAATCTTTGGAAAACTTTTCCAACAAACAGAGTATTACTAGATTTGACCATTAAGCAATGAAATGACCTTAGGAGATGTAGCCTACTAATAGGAAATAGTTATAGCATGATGAGATTAATCGTTGCTAGAAACAATTTGAGAAGCAGCCACTTGTATTGGTGTACAGTGGATAACTTGATCATTGTTTAGAAAATCTTCTACTGGGAAGGAAGGAGCTTCTGCCATTGTTGGCTCGCTTGTTGCTTGTTCTTCCATTTGTTTCTTCAATTGATTGATCATCCTCTTAATCTCATATGTTGCTTTCTTAACTCTACCCAATCCCTCCTAAGCTTGTCAAAATAACAATATGTTTTTGCTAAAAGCGATCCAGTTTAACTATAATTTGGTCTATGTCCTCCTAAAAGTTAGCATATTCATAATGGCAACAGGTACCATCATCATATTGATAAACATAATCATGTTGATGGCTATTAAGATGTTCATATTGTTGTTGCTTAATGTACTCATGCCGGTATTGGTCTTTGTACTCATATTGCTTATGATTAGCATACTTTGACTGGAGATGGCGATGCTCATAATTGTCACAATAAGTATATGTTCATACTGTCGATGACTTGTATAATCATATTGTTATTCTTCATAACCATACCAATAGCTCTCTTTCTCATAAGTATCTTGTGACAGATAGGTATACCATTGAGCATAATGCTTTCGTTGTTGAGCATATTATGGTAGAATGGCATATTCATACCGATAATCTAAATGTGTATATAGCTGTGCTCATATTGGCAACTAAGCATTATAAGTATTTTTTTTATTTTTTTGTTTTCTTCTTTCTTTTCCTTTCTCTTTTCCCCTTTTTTTTTTCTTTTTTTTTGGAAGACAAAAATCCAAATCAATAAAAAATGAAGAATTATTCAAAATGCTGCAATGTAGAGATGTTCCAAACCTCAAAGAGCCATTAGTGAGAAAATTTGTGAAAGGTGATGAAGGCACTCCAGTCAGTGGCTTTGAATAGTGAGTTTATTATACCTGTTTGGCACTCTAAATTTTAATGAAAAAGTTATACTTTCTAAGTGAGCTTGGCAACAAGAGTGTGATGGAAACCTAACAAGAGTGTGATGGAAACCTAACTTTAGTACTAAATTGATATAAAACAAGAAGGGCAAAGGGGAACAGAGAGAAAAGGAGGAGGGAAGGCCAAAACTCTTAAAAACTCTTATTCAATAATATTTAAAATTTGAATATAAATAAAAAACCTAGTTCTACTTATAGAGCTCTAAAATAATAAAATAAAAATAATTTAAATTCAAATCTCAAATCCTAAATCTAAATATAATCTTAAAGATATTGATATCTAAGATAACAATAAAATAAATAATCAAAGCTAATGTAATGGATCAATATCCTTATTTAAATATCTCTATTAGATAACCCTAATATTTAAATTAAATCTAACTATATTTTATCCTATATTACACCATTTCTTATAAAGCTCTAAAATAATATAATACCAATAATGTAAATTCAAATCTCAAATCCTAAATTTAAATATAATCTTAAAGATACTGATATCTAAAATAACAATAAAATAAATAATTAAAGCTAATTTAATAGATCAATATCTTTATTTAAATATCCCTATTGGATAACCTTAATATCCTAAATTAAATTTAATTATATTTATCCCATATTACATCACAAACTTTAACTCGATACAATTTAATCTCTATAATTTTAACAATTTTAAACATTTGTCCCTAAGTTGTAAAAAATATTTTCAGTCTTTATAATTTTATTTTTAAAATATAGTACCAATATTTCAAATAATTAAAAATTATAGGGACTAACTTGCACCAAGTCAAAATTACAATAGACAAAGAGCATACACCAAAATTATTTTAAAATTGAATTACAAGTGAATCAAGACTATATAAATTAAATAATTTATTTCTTTAAAAGAAAGTCAAATGGTGGTTACATTTGAATGTATTAATTAAAGTCATCTGAGTGATAATATTATTTATATATATTTTTAAAACTAAACAGCTCTAGAAAAATTAGTCATTCAAATTCTGAGCCAGTTGAGCAAGCTGAAGAGGCAAGAGCATGACCATTCCAAGGACGGTAGTTACATCAGAAGAGCAAGTAGGCCACAATTGTATGTGACCAATTAAATGATGTGTCATGTATCTTCTGTGAAATGGGACAATCTCTGTGTGGTGTGTATATATATTTTGAAACAATCTGTGTATATATTTTAACTACACGTATGTGTGTTGAAATAATGTATGAATAAATAAAAAGTATTACATTCTCTCTCCCCATCTCTAATAGTTTTATAATCAGAATAATTTAAAAACTACTAGGGTAAAGGGTCATTAATTTTTATCCTTAACTTTACCCGAAAGATTTGAGGACCCTAAACTCAATTATGTATCAATTTTATCCCTTAATTTTAAATATTTCCTTCCTTATCTTACTATTTTCTCACCATTAGTGGGCCCCACATTATATTTTTAATTTTTTTATTATAAAATATTTGAATTGAGGGTGCTCACTGACTCTTCCAATAAAAGTTGAGGGGTAAAAATGACCCTTAACTCAAAAAAACTATTTAAAAGTAGTGAGATTCACTAATAATTGATGTCATTGTGATGAAGGAGGAAATATTTAATATTGGGGTATAGAATTGACCTATAGTTGAGTTTAAGGTCCTTAATACCCTTTAGGTAAAGTTGAAAAGTAAAAATGATTTTTAATCCAAAAAATATAATAAATGTCCTATTTAGTGATTAATAAAGAAGACTAAACATTTTTTTATATATGTGCCTTATAAAAAAGAGTGGGGGAGGAAGCTAAGTATTATTTACGCAAGTTCTTGGATTTAATACAAATAATATCAAGAAAAAAGTTCTCCATAATTGAGTCCCACACCTAATTTTTAGTCAAGGAAGTCCATGATTTATATGAGAACAG